GAAGAATAAGAACTCTATGAAGAATAAAAAAATGACTACAAAGAAGAAAAAAAAACAGCAGCAACAACACTATGAAGAAGAATAAGAAGACTACGAATAAGACGACGACAAAGAAGAAGACTACGAAGAAGTAGAAGCATACAAAGAGAAAAAAAATGGAGTAGGGAAGAAGATGATTACGAACAAGAAAAATAAGACGATTATGAGAAGACAATGAGTACGAAGAAGACGATTATGATAACAAATGATAGAGAGGAAGACTTCGATGACGAAGACTATGGAGACAAAGACTACGAAGAGGAAGGCTGTGAAGAAGAAAGAGAACAAGAAGACGACTATGAAAAAGAAGAACAATACCATGAAGAAGGAAGAATACTACTACTATGAAGAAGAAAATTACAAAGAAGAATATGAAGACTACAAATAAGGACATGAAGACTACGAGTAAGAAGTAGACTATGAAAACAACGATGATAGAGAAGAAGACGATTACGAACAAGAAAAATAAGAAGACGACGGCTATGAAGAAGATGGAGAAGAAAAAGACTACAAAAAAGGTTGAAGAAAAAGAAGACGACTACGAAGAATAAGAACTCTATGAAGAATAAAAAAATGACTACAAAGAAGAAAAAAAAACAGCAGCAACAACACTATGAAGAAGAATAAGACGACGACAAAGAAGAAGACTACGAAGAAGTAGAAGCATACAAAGAGAAAAACAATGGAGTAGGGAAGAAGATGATTACGAACAAGAAAAATAAGACGATTATGAGAAGACAATGAGTACGAAGAAGACGATTATGATAACAACGATGATAGGGAAGAAGACGATTACGAACAAGAAAAATAAGAAGACGACGGCTATGAAGAAGATGGAGAAGAAAAAGACTACAAAAAAGGTTGAAGAAAAAGAAGACGACTACGAAGAATAAGAACTCTATGAAGAATAAAAAAATGACTACAAAGAAGAAAAAAAAACAGCAGCAACAACACTATGAAGAAGAATAAGAAGACTACGAATAAGACGACGACAAAGAAGAAGACTACGAAGAAGTAGAAGCATACAAAGAGAAAAAAAATGGAGTAGGGAAGAAGATGATTACGAACAAGAAAAATAAGACGATTATGAGAAGACAATGAGTACGAAGAAGACGATTATGATAACAAATGATAGAGAGGAAGACTTCGATGACGAAGACTATGGAGACAAAGACTACGAAGAGGAAGACTGTGAAGAAGAAAGAGAACAAGAAGACGACTATGAAAAAGAAGAACAATACCATGAAGAAGGAAGAATACTACTACTATGAAGAAGAAAATTACAAAGAAGAATATGAAGACTACAAATAAGGACATGAAGACTACGAGTAAGAAGTAGACTATGAAAACAACGATGATAGAGAAGAAGACGATTACGAACAAGAAAAATAAGAAGACGACGGCTATGAAGAAGATGGAGAAGAAAAAGACTACAAAAAAGGTTGAAGAAAAAGAAGACGACTACGAAGAATAAGAACTCTATGAAGAATAAAAAAATGACTACAAAGAAGAAAAAAAAACAGCAGCAACAACACTATGAAGAAGAATAAGATGACTACGAATAAGACGACGACAAAGAAGAAGACTACGAAGAAGTAGAAGCATACAAAGAGAAAAAAAATGGAGTAGGGAAGAAGATGATTACGAACAAGAAAAATAAGACGATTATGAGAAGACAATGAGTACGAAGAAGACGATTATGATAACAAATGATAGAGAGGAAGACTTCGATGACGAAGACTATGGAGACAAAGACTACGAAGAGGAAGACTGTGAAGAAGAAAGAGAACAAGAAGACGACTATGAAAAAGAAGAACAATACCATGAAGAAGGAAGAATACTACTACTATGAAGAAGAAAATTACAAAGAAGAATATGAAGACTACAAATAAGGACATGAAGACTACGAGTAAGAAGTAGACTATGAAAACAACGATGATAGAGAAGAAGACGATTACGAACAAGAAAAATAAGAAGACGACGGCTATGAAGAAGATGGAGAAGAAAAAGACTACAAAAAAGGTTGAAGAAAAAGAAGACGACTACGAAGAATAAGAACTCTATGAAGAATAAAAAAATGACTACAAAGAAGAAAAAAAAACAGCAGCAACAACACTATGAAGAAGAATAAGATGACTACGAATAAGACGACGACAAAGAAGAAGACTACGAAGAAGTAGAAGCATACAAAGAGAAAAAAAATGGAGTAGGGAAGAAGATGATTACGAACAAGAAAAATAAGACGATTATGAGAAGACAATGAGTACGAAGAAGACGATTATGATAACAAATGATAGAGAGGAAGACTTCGATGACGAAGACTATGGAGACAAAGACTACGAAGAGGAAGACTGTGAAGAAGAAAGAGAACAAGAAGACGACTATGAAAAAGAAGAACAATACCATGAAGAAGGAAGAATACTACTACTATGAAGAAGAAAATTACAAAGAAGAATATGAAGACTACAAATAAGGACATGAAGACTACGAGTAAGAAGTAGACTATGAAAACAACGATGATAGAGAAGAAGACGATTACGAACAAGAAAAATAAGAAGACGACGGCTATGAAGAAGATGGAGAAGAAAAAGACTACAAAAAAGGTTGAAGAAAAAGAAGACGACTACGAAGAATAAGAACTCTATGAAGAATAAAAAAATGACTACAAAGAAGAAAAAAAAACAGCAGCAACAACACTATGAAGAAGAATAAGAAGACTACGAATAAGACGACGACAAAGAAGAAGACTACGAAGAAGTAGAAGCATACAAAGAGAAAAACAATGGAGTAGGGAAGAAGATGATTACGAACAAGAAAAATAAGACGATTATGAGAAGACAATGAGTACGAAGAAGACGATTATGATAACAAATGATAGAGAGGAAGACTTCGATGACGAAGACTATGGAGACAAAGACTACGAAGAGGAAGGCTGTGAAGAAGAAAGAGAACAAGAAGACGACTATGAAAAAGAAGAACAATACCATGAAGAAGGAAGAATACTACTACTATGAAGAAGAAAATTACAAAGAAGAATATGAAGACTACAAATAAGGACATGAAGACTACGAGTAAGAAGTAGACTATGAAAACAACGATGATAGAGAAGAAGACGATTACGAACAAGAAAAATAAGAAGACGACGGCTATGAAGAAGATGGAGAAGAAAAAGACTACAAAAAAGGTTGAAGAAAAAGAAGACGACTACGAAGAATAAGAACTCTATGAAGAATAAAAAAATGACTACAAAGAAGAAAAAAAAACAGCAGCAACAACACTATGAAGAAGAATAAGACGACGACAAAGAAGAAGACTACGAAGAAGTAGAAGCATACAAAGAGAAAAACAATGGAGTAGGGAAGAAGATGATTACGAACAAGAAAAATAAGACGATTATGAGAAGACAATGAGTACGAAGAAGACGATTATGATAACAACGATGATAGGAAGAAGACGATTACGAACAAGAAAAATAAGAAGACGACGGCTATGAAGAAGATGGAGAAGAAAAAGACTACAAAAAAGGTTGAAGAAAAGAAGACGACTACGAAGAATAAGAACTCTATGAAGAATAAAAAAATGACTACAAAGAAGAAAAAAAAACAGCAGCAACAACACTATGAAGAAGAATAAGAAGACTACGAATAAGACGACGACAAAGAAGAAGACTACGAAGAAGTAGAAGCATACAAAGAGAAAAACAATGGAGTAGGGAAGAAGATGATTACGAACAAGAAAAATAAGACGATTATGAGAAGACAATGAGTACGAAGAAGACGATTATGATAACAAATGATAGAGAGGAAGACTTCGATGACGAAGACTATGGAGACAAAGACTACGAAGAGGAAGACTGTGAAGAAGAAAGAGAACAAGAAGACGACTATGAAAAAGAAGAACAATACCATGAAGAAGGAAGAATACTACTACTATGAAGAAGAAAATTACAAAGAAGAATATGAAGACTACAAATAAGGACATGAAGACTACGAGTAAGAAGTAGACTATGAAAACAACGATGATAGAGAAGAAGACGATTACGAACAAGAAAAATAAGAAGACGACGGCTATGAAGAAGATGGAGAAGAAAAAGACTACAAAAAAGGTTGAAGAAAAAGAAGACGACTACGAAGAATAAGAACTCTGTGAAGAATAAAAAAATGACTACAAAGAAGAAAAAAAAACAGCAGCAACAACACTATGAAGAAGAATAAGATGACTACGAATAAGACGACGACAAAGAAGAAGACTACGAAGAAGTAGAAGCATACAAAGAGAAAAAAAATGGAGTAGGGAAGAAGATTATTACGAACAAGAAAAATAAGACGATTATGAGAAGACAATGAGTACGAAGAAGACGATTATGATAACAAATGATAGAGAGGAAGACTTCGATGACGAAGACTATGGAGACAAAGACTACGAAGAGGAAGACTGTGAAGAAGAAAGAGAACAAGAAGACGACTATGAAAAAGAAGAACAATACCATGAAGAAGGAAGAATACTACTACTATGAAGAAGAAAATTACAAAGAAGAATATGAAGACTACAAATAAGGACATGAAGACTACGAGTAAGAAGTAGACTATGAAAACAACGATGATAGAGAAGAAGACGATTACGAACAAGAAAAATAAGAAGACGACGGCTATGAAGAAGATGGAGAAGAAAAAGACTACAAAAAAGGTTGAAGAAAAAGAAGACGACTACGAAGAATAAGAACTCTATGAAGAATAAAAAAATGACTACAAAGAAGAAAAAAAAACAGCAGCAACAACACTATGAAGAAGAATAAGATGACTACGAATAAGACGACGACAAAGAAGAAGACTACGAAGAAGTAGAAGCATACAAAGAGAAAAAAAATGGAGTAGGGAAGAAGATGATTACGAACAAGAAAAATAAGACGATTATGAGAAGACAATGAGTACGAAGAAGACGATTATCATAACAAATGATAGAGAGGAAGACTTCGATGACGAAGACTATGGAGACAAAGACTACGAAGAGGAAGGCTGTGAAGAAGAAAGAGAACAAGAAGACGACTATGAAAAAGAAGAACAATACCATGAAGAAGGAAGAATACTACTACTATGAAGAAGAAAATTACAAAGAAGAATATGAAGACTACAAATAAGGACATGAAGACTACGAGTAAGAAGTAGACTATGAAAACAACGATGATAGAGAAGAAGACGATTACGAACAAGAAAAATAAGAAGACGACGGCTATGAAGAAGATGGAGAAGAAAAAGACTACAAAAAAGGTTGAAGAAAAAGAAGACGACTACGAAGAATAAGAACTCTATGAAGAATAAAAAAATGACTACAAAGAAGAAAAAAAAACAGCAGCAACAACACTATGAAGAAGAATAAGAAGACTACGAATAAGACGACGACAAAGAAGAAGACTACGAAGAAGTAGAAGCATACAAAGAGAAAAAAAATGGAGTAGGGAAGAAGATGATTACGAACAAGAAAAATAAGACGATTATGAGAAGACAATGAGTACGAAGAAGACGATTATGATAACAAATGATAGAGAGGAAGACTTCGATGACGAAGACTATGGAGACAAAGACTACGAAGAGGAAGACTGTGAAGAAGAAAGAGAACAAGAAGACGACTATGAAAAAGAAGAACAATACCATGAAGAAGGAAGAATACTACTACTATGAAGAAGAAAATTACAAAGAAGAATATGAAGACTACAAATAAGGACATGAAGACTACGAGTAAGAAGTAGACTATGAAAACAACGATGATAGAGAAGAAGAGGATTACGAACAAGAAAAATAAGAAGACGACGGCTATGAAGAAGATGGAGAAGAAAAAGACTACAAAAAAGGTTGAAGAAAAAGAAGACGACTACGAAGAATAAGAACTCTATGAAGAATAAAAAAATGACTACAAAGAAGAAAAAAAAACAGCAGCAACAACACTATGAAGAAGAATAAGAAGACTACGAATAAGACGACGACAAAGAAGAAGACTACGAAGAAGTAGAAGCATACAAAGAGAAAAAAAATGGAGTAGGGAAGAAGATGATTACGAACAAGAAAAATAAGACGATTATGAGAAGACAATGAGTACGAAGAAGACGATTATGATAACAAATGATAGAGAAGAAGACTTCGATGACGAAGACTATGGAGACAAAGACTACGAAGAGGAAGACTGTGAAGAAGAAAGAGAACAAGAAGACGACTATGAAAAAGAAGAACAATACCATGAAGAAGGAATAATACTACTACTATGAAGAAGAAAATTACAAAGAAGAATATGAAGACTACAAATAAGGACATGAAGACTACGAGTAAGAAGTAGACTATGAAAACAACGATGATAGAGAAGAAGAGGATTACGAACAAGAAAAATAAGAAGACGACGGCTATGAAGAAGATGGAGAAGAAAAAGACTACAAAAAAGGTTGAAGAAAAAGAAGACGACTACGAAGAATAAGAACTCTATGAAGAATAAAAAAATGACTACAAAGAAGAAAAAAAAACAGCAGCAACAACACTATGAAGAAGAATAAGAAGACTACGAATAAGACGACGACAAAGAAGAAGACTACGAAGAAGTAGAAGCATACAAAGAAAAAAAAATGGAGTAGGGAAGAAGATGATTACGAACAAGAAAAATAAGAAGACGACGACTAGAAAGAAGATGACTATTGATAATAAGAACTCTATGAAGAATAAGAAAATGACTACAAAGAAGGAAAAAAAAAACAGCAGCAGCAACACTACGATGAAGAATAAGACTGATGAAGAATAAGAAAACTACGAAGAAGATGACGACGACGACGATGAAGAAGTAGAAGAATACAAAAAAAAGGACTAGATGTAAAAGAAGACTATGAATAAGTGATGATTACTACAAAGAAGAAAACGAATTTGACAAACGACAAAGAAGAAGACTACAAAGAACAAGGCTACAAAAAAGAATAATAAGAAAAAAAAAAAAGACCACAAAGAAGACTATGAAGAAGAAGAAGACTACAAAGAGAAGAATACAAATAAGAAGATTACGAAGAAAGACAATGACTATGAAGAAGAAAAAGAATAAGAAGATGACCATGAAGAAGATGAATAAGAATAAGAACGACAAGAGGAAACAGAAGACTACGAAGAAAGGAGGAGAAGAAGACTACGAAACAGAAGAACAATAACACCACTAGGAAGAAGAAAAATTTATAGAATTAGACTGTGAAGAAGAAGTAGACTATGAAGGAGTTCACTAAAAAAAGAAGATTAGATGATGGAGAAGAAGACTCCGAGGACGAAAAATAAGATGATAATGACTATGAAGAAGACGACAAATGACAAAAAATAAGATGACTATAAAAAAGAATGGGAATAAAAATATGAATAAGAAGGCTACGAAGAAGAAAAAGTAGAACAAGAATAAAAATACGAATAATACTACGAAGAAGAAAAATAAGAAGACTACGATGAAGAAGAAAAACAACAACAATAATACGAAAAAGAAGAATAAAACTACGAAGAAGAACACTATGAAAAATGACTTAACCGATCAAAAGGGTAATTTTTAGGCATGAGTGTATTTTATAGTCTACGAAAACAAAAAAGACTTAAACCAATCAAAATGGTAATTTTTTTCATTTTTCTGTAAATGAATTTGAAATATCGACTTTCAGAATTTTACAATGAATATTGATTTATTGGATGGACATAGCAAACTATTCATAACCACCCCAACATCCAACAATCCAACAATGTCACGATAGTGGCTACATGTTAGTCCTTTTTCTTAATTATAAACCAAATTAACTCCCTTAAAAGCACAAGCAACCACCAAAATGACTATCACGTTATGCTGACACATGCAAGTAAGAGAATTATCTACATGATCTCTAAATTATTCTATTTCTGTCTATTAAGCCCCTAAATTTTTTTATATCAATTTAGGCCTTCAACTATCCAATCTCTCTCAATGTGGCCATTCCATCCCAAACTCACTGTGAACCTTGATGAAAAGCCTCACATGTACATCAAATAAATCAAAAATTAAGAGTAGTTAAGGCCATACACTTACACGGAATTTCAACAGCTAGTTTGGACTTGACACGTTGGTCTTGCTTTGACATGTGTAAGACAAACTAGTTTAGAAGGATACTGTAAGTGCTAGACGGATATAGTTTGTTGACTTGCATTCATTGGACTATTTTGTCTATATATTTTGTGTACTCCATCTTAGTCATTTCATCAGGCTTCAATTATAGTTGAATCGATGGTTTTTTCTTTTTCTCCAGAAAATCTTGACATGGATGTATTACATTGCATGTTTATAACTTAATAGTGTGCTTCTTGTTCTCTATTGTTATATAATATTAAACAATATTGAAGTGCGGCCTTGTTCTAGACTAAGAAGCATGGACATAGACACGGGACATAGATATGACAAGACATGGACACGCCAATACGACATTTCTAAAAAAGTAGGATACAGACACGTTGGAGACACGCTACAAAAAAATTATATTTTATATATAACATTATATAATTTATTGCAAATATAGTGATAATAATGATAAAAAAACCTAATGTCTAGTCATCTGTGTGAATTTTTAGACTAAAACATCCTCATTATAGTCAATAATCATCAATTTTTTTTGTAGACAATGTGTACTTAATATATAATTTAAATAATTGTTCTCATTTTCTCAATTTTTTTTTTAAAATTTTTATGCATCTTCTATTTTTATTATTATATTTGGAGTAAAACTTTAGTATGTTTAGTATTAGTAATTATATGTTCTCAAATTTTTAAACTTTGTTAATCACATTTTAACAAATGTCTATTGTTTAGTAGTAGACACGTTCTAAAGAAGTGTCAGACACATCACAAAAAAATGTCCAACACGTGTCCGAAATTAAAAATTTATCGTTTAATTATAGACACGGATAAAAGAGTATCATACACGTGTCCGAAGAGTGTCGGTGTCCGACACAGATACGTCACATTCTCAAAAGTGTCCGTGCTTCATAGGTTCTAGAACATCCTCAACCGGATTTGGTTTTTATAGTACTCTTGGTTGCACTTCATTGGTACTTGGAGAAATTGGTATCGTAAGTGTTTTCCCCGCTTGTCTAATGGATTCAAATGCACAAGTTCCAATAGAAGTGCTTCCTTTTTGTGTCTCAGAAGATTGCGATTATCTATGTGGACATGGTAATCTCTGTATTCCGGGTTTCCAGTAAATTTGATTTACCTATCTTCTCTTTCTTTTCTTTTTTTCCTATGCAAATTGGAGGTAATTGCTTATAGTTTATTACGGTAATTATTTAAGAGCAATATCACAATTGTACTTGTAAAATGGTGGGATAATTTATTTAACAATTCCTGGATAAGTTTTTCTCAGCTGAGACATTGAATACTGGGGTCGATGATTATATTATATTTTAGGAATGAGTTTTTGTCTCAGTGGTCATCACAAATTGTCCTAAAGCAGGGGATATGCTTGTAGTTGTTTGTCATTCAGATAAGCCACTTGGAACTGCTGAAATTTCATCTGCAAATTACTTGTTTGAGATCATGGTTACTCTTTGTGCAGAGTAATGTCCATTCCATTTAGATTCTTTATACATGGTCCAAGTCTTTTATGTCATTGTGAAAATGATAAGTTGTGTTTTTTCATGGGTACGGGCTGCAATACTTGTTAGGGATGCGAAAGCTCTTTGCCCTCATCTTGTCAATTTATTCCTTATCACTTTGATGCCTAAAAGGAGATATACATTTGTAGTGTAAGTTTTGTTGAATTTCATATATATGGATGAGGGAATGCTAACCACTTTCTCTTTTGTATATCATTTTAGTTATATGGGGTACTTGAAGTTATATGATCTGTTGGATCTGTTGCAGGTGGCCGATCAATTTTATAACATCTTGCGCACAAACACTGCAACAAACTGCACGTCTGCTAGTGGAAATGCCTTGTAGTCTTTTTGTTTCTTTTCCTTTGCTTTCCTTTCTATATTCATCTTCATTTTTAATATCTTCTTTGTTTTGTTCTTCTTTGTAGTCGTCTTGATATTTTTCTTTGTATCTTCTTTTTCTTCGTTGTAGTTATCTTCTTCTTTATATTGGAAGTGTTCTTCTTATTCTTCTTTA